TACATCCATCTTCTAAAACTTTATCAACTTTCTTATTTTAGTTGTCCACTAAATTTGCCCCCTTTCCTATAATGTTTTGTTCTAGGGGGAGATATGACCCTAAACTTTTTGTTGGGGTGAAATACTATGAAATGGTGCTAAATAAGACAAAAAAAACTCAATGTATCTAAATAGGACCTCAATGATTTTTATACTTAAATAGGACTAAATTTTCCCTTGCTCCCTAAATTACCCCTTCCTCTGGACTACGATCGACGAGAGCCACCAGGTGTCCTTTGCACGGAGAATTGATCTTCTCCGACCCGCCCTAGGTTGTCATCTAGCCACAAATAGGATCTCGAGTACACACCTATTGGCAAATCTGAGGATTGAGAAAATTGAATTGCTGTTGCGGATGGATGGCATTGATCTCGAATCCGCGCCTAGGGATGAAACCAGACAACAATCCGCCCCTCTTTTTCAAAATTTTCCCGGTGGTGATGCTTCCGTTTTCTTTTCCCTGCTTCCGGTCCCTGCGGCTGCACAATTCTATCTAGAGTGACTAAATCTAACCTGGATTTGGGGTCCTGGGTTTGTGGGTGGAAAAGCTTCGAGCTTCTAGAAGCTGAGTTTTGGGGTAAAACCAAAGCCTTGAGAATAAAAATGCAGAATTCTCCATCGTTTGAGATAGAAGCTCACGCAATCCTAAGAAAGAAGTTGAATAATTGCTCCGCTGTTTTGGCCTTTACTTGCTGTATGCATTTTAGCATTGTCCGTGGGGCTCCCAAAAGGCCAAAATATTATGCTAAATGAAAGGCAATATTTCGTATTAACAATTTAACATTGTGTTTCATACTTTGTACATTTTTACAAAATTAACACTTTTAATATTAACTTTAATTTAAACATAAAAAAGTTATTTTTACAACATTGTCATTATTTTTAAAAATGTTATTTTTATAACTTTGACATTGTCAAGATAGTTATTGATATCGGCATTGACATTCTCATTATCACAATGTCATTTTCATCATGACATTGTGACATTTTCCTGACATTTTGATAGTTTCTGATATTACCAATTTTTTTAAATGGCATGACAATGTTACAATATTTCAATGTCATCAACGAAATTAATGTCACTTATTGACAATGTCACAATATTACTACGTAATATCACAATATCATTGCCGAATAATGACATTGATTTATAAAAAATGACATTGTATTAACATTGACATTTAATGACATTGATTTTTAAGTAATTATATTGATATTTGAACATTGCCAATGTGTTACAATCATTGAAGTCTCTTTGACATTTTCATTATTACAATGTCATTGTTTATAGCATTGACATTTTCATTATTTGACATTGTGATATTTTTCTTACATTTTGACAATATTTGCAAGATAATAATATTATTTGTTGTAACAGTGTTTATAGTTATAATATTTGACATTGTGACATTTTTGAATATCGTAACATTTTCTTGCATTTGGCAATGACATTGTACGAGTCATTCACATTGTCATCATTACAGTGTCATTATTTATAGCATTGACAATGTCACATTTTATGACATTTGACATTTTCTCCTACGTTATTTTCGCCATATCATTATCATTATCAAAATAAGATACGAGCATTTTAATAAAATATGTACTCAATAATTGTTTTCGCCATTGTTAAATAAAATAATCATAGTTAAGTTTTACAATGGTAGGGGTAGACATGCTTTAATTAAAGGGTCATTGGTACAACTGTTCAAGTATTAGGCTCCGTAATACTGTATTTGCCATCCATTGCTAGCAGTCTACCATGTAGCAGTCTATCCATCGCTCCTTCGCATATTCTGCTCCACAACATAAGCAAAAAGAGCTCTCTGCAAATTGAAAAGTCAAACAAAAATAAAAAGCTACAGTACGAAGACTTGTCATAGCAGCCTAACAGGAATGTTATTACGTACATAAGAATGATAGAAGAGGAAAACGAAAGCAGCAGAAGAAGAACTGAAAGGAAAGAGGAAGAAGCGAAAGATGGAGGTTGACTCCCGCCGGCGACCACCTGCAGTAGATCTGAATTAATCGCAGCAGTGATGTGCGCCTGGTGAGAAAAAATTGGTCATCAATGGGTCTCACCTTTGTCGCCGCCTTGCCGGTGAGTTGAATGGCTGCTCCGTATGATGGCAGAATGGCAGCAAGTAACATTTGAAGGCAGCGTCCTTTTAGGGGTGTTTTTGTCCTTCCGTTAAAAATTAGTCTTATTTACGTTTTAAAAAGTTGGACTCCTATTTACGTTTAGGGATGTCAAAAAAACCCGACCCGTAATGACCCGCCCTGGCCCGAGACATTTGGGGCGGGTCCGCCCCGCCCCATCTTGCAAATGGGGCGGGTCCGCCCCGCCCCGCCTATACAATGGGGCGGGTCCGGGTATTAGAATTGACCCGTGCCGCCCCGACCCGACCCGACCCGCTCAATATATAAGTATACATATTTTTTCTTAACTTATACTACAAATATACTTCAACATACATATGTGTGTATACAATAAATCATAAATTCTTTGATCTTATAATAAATGAATATATATTAGAATGAGATGCACGATGTATTATCAATGTCTTCTTTATATATTGAATTTTAATACGGAGTACATTTATTCAATTATTAATATAACTAATTAGATTAACTATTCAAGTTTGGGTAATTTTTCCTTAATTTTTGAATGTTTTAGTGTATCATGAATTTGATTTAATATATTGATTTTTAATTATTATTTAGAGATAAACATTATGTAGATTCAATTGGTAACAACTTCCCACAAATAAAAATACAAACTAGCTAATTAGGTTGCGGCGGGGCGGGACGGACCCGCCCCGCCCCGCATGGGGCGGGTCATGGGTCAACAAGTTTCGACCCGTGCAGGTCACGGGGCGGGGCGGACCCGCCTCGCCAAGTCACGGGCCGGGTCCGGGTCTTGCTATACCCGCCCCGCCCTGACCCATTGCCATGCCTATTTACGTTCCCAAGCCTTGTTTTAATCATATTCAAGTCTTTTTCCCAATACTATACGTATACAAATTAAGTTTGTTGAAGATTTAGGCACCTTTCTACCAACGGTTGGATACTACTCCGTAACACATAACATAAAACTTGGAATATACCAATTTCTTACTTTCTACTCCCTCCGTTTCTATTTGGTTGACACACTTTCCTTTTTTGAACGTTTTAAAATGAATGCCACACTTCTTTATTTCCTTATTTGGTAAACAAATCTTTACCTAAACAGTGCAAAGCAGTGTCAAACAGTGTTCAAACAGTGTCAAACGGTGTACTCTACAGTAAAATTTACCCTTCAATAACTTTTTTCCCTTAAATCTTGACAAGTCAAACTGTGTCAACCAAATAGAAACGGAGGGAGTATAATAACTTTTGAAATAAAAAAATTGAGTAACCTCAACGTCTGACTTAAAAACTGAATTACTGATTTATTTACTTTAAAATTAAACTAGGCTTTACAAAAATAACAAATTAACATGAAAAAAATGATTGAAATATATAATAAGGCCGGAATAAAATTTATAAATAAATAAAAGATTGTCCCTTAAAATCCGATAAAAAGGTAACAAATATAAATACACGCTAGAAGTCATAAAATACCACAAAAATATTAATTATATTTTCAAGTTTTAAAGTAGTCTCATATATAGTTCATGTTTATACTCTCCTAACAAAGAAAATCAACATTAAAATTTTTCATAATATCACAACTTGACCGTACGGATAAACCAATGACTGGTGAAATTTAAAATTACATATCTTAGTCATTCTACACACAAATTACGTTTGAATATTTTATATGAAAAATACCAACATTCACATTTTTAAATTTATGAAACTTGAGTGCCACACATTGTGTTTTGAAAATGTGTATGGAAATTAGGCTATTTTTAGCGCTGTAGCCTCAAATTATTATTTTCCAGTGCAAACACTTAGAGAGCCCATTTAGTAGCACGAAAATCGGCTGATTTGGCTGATTTTGCTGAAATTTATGAAGTTCTGGTTGAAGTGGCTGCGTTGGTTGATTCTGCTGTTTTAAGAAATAATTATTTTTAAAATGTATTTTATTACATTTTAAATACATCCAAAAACTTACCAAAAAGGGAAGTGTAGCAAATTTTAAAATACGGAGGAGTATGTAAAAATAGTTAAAAATACATGTACTACATTTCAATGTGTGTTCTATTTGAGATGATAAACATGCAATTTCCCCCAAATGAATTGAGATTCATTCCTAACCACACATCAATTTAAATCCTATAACAAATCCATTCAGATGTAAGAAGCAAATACAAATAAAATAAAGACATTAGTTGGCCCTCTTTGTGTAAGATGAAAAGAGAATCCACTCACTTTTAGTTTTGGTATAGGCTTATTTACTTAGGACCAGGTTAAAACTAACGGCACCATGAGGGGAGGTGCCTAAATTGTCAAAAAAAAACGTACTCCTTTCTCTATTAGTTGGCCCTATTGGGTTTGACACAAGTTTTAAGAGTAAAATAATAGGGGTAATGTAAAAGATGTAGTGAGTTGTGTTTAAATGAAAAAGTAGGAAAGAGAATGAGGGTAAATGAGTATATTTATTGAAAAAACTTTCCAAAAATGTAAAGAGAGACAAATATTAGAAAAAAATACTCCCTCCGTATCAGATATATCTTCCCACTTCTAAAGTGGGTGAGATTAAGAATAGTGAAATGGAGTATGAATTATTGAGGGTATGATGGGAAGATGGTGAAATAATGTGATGGAATGAAGGATAAATCCAAAAAAAGTAGGTGTAGTAGTGTATTATTTTTTAAATTATTGAGGGTATGACGGGAAGATTTAGAAATGAGAAGATATAAATGTTACGTCCAAAAAAGGAAAGTGGGAAGATATGAATGTTACGGAGTATCAGATAACAGAGAGAGTATATCCTAAGCTATTTCAACCCAAAAAATTTAGGGGCATATCCCCTTCTACAACAAAACACAACAAAAACATTAGGGTCATTTTTCCCCCCTTTCCCCTTTTCAATTTAACTAAAGAATTTGAGGTTTCATTAATTCAACAAGAAGGGAGTAACTAATTAAAGTTGGAAGGTGATAACTTGCAGGGGAGTTGCGGCCGCTACTGCTACTCTGAGTAATCTATGCTTCATCTAATCTCCTCCACTTGAGCATATGTATACTCTTATAGCTTCGAAATTTTAACTGAACCTTTGGGCAGTGCTCCATCTCTTTTTCTTCAATACAAGCAGCCATCCAGGTAATCGGAAATTCTTCTTGCAAATTTTGTATTGTCATGTATGTCTATGGTGACTTGTTATAATTTGTGTGTTTGAGACGCTTAATAACTACTAATTGGAGTTACTCCTTTTTTTTCCATCTAAACTTTATTCAGGTTTAATCCAATTCCACTTTTCAAACGTGTCCTTGTTCCTTTTGTCCGTTTAAAATTTGGTTGTGTATAGTGGGGTGGTTGCTTCACTTGCTTCTGCTCTCTGTTTAGGATAAGAGTAACAGATGTAAGGGTCAATTGGATGCCATAAAACAAGATGAATTGTGCTGATTATTTGTTTATAATTATATTTGTTTTTTTAGTTCACCTCAAGAAGTTGCTTCTGATTAGTTTATTATTTACAAATATTACTAGCTCATTTGATTGTCAAGGTGTGGTCCAATGAGGACATTTATTCTTAGAAAAGATTATTAAAGGAATAGTTGTATGATTGTTTGATGGTATTTTCTTGTGATCTTTGGACCTTTTTTGAAATTAAATGATCAAAAGTGCAGCTGAAACTGTGAACTAATCTTATTATTACTATTCTCAAGAGGTTGTGAGGCAAAAGATTAATCTTCTCTTTAAAGATTCTCATTTTCTATACTTACTTTCTTTTAAATGATACTCCTTATTTTATTTTGTAGTGTGTTAGCTTGAACACATTAAGCTTTAAATTTAAGTAATTTAAAAAGTTTCTCTGTTCATTAGACATGCTTTGTAGTTGTTAGTTTGTTTAATTTGAGATTTTTATTTCAGGTTGTTCTCATTTACATTAGAGGTTTATTTTTATCCTTTTTTGAACTAAAGCTAGTTTGAGTATAATTTGATTGGCCATCAATAGTAGCTATGAGCTTTAAGATTGTGATGTGTTGTGGCATTGAAAAATATGCTAGTAATGCACTTGTTTGACTCTTTACTTCTGTCCATAAAATAAATGCATTCCACTAGGAACCCTTAAGCCCCACGGCATAAGTTAAACTGCCTCCACATAGGTCTAGGGAGATAGGACTATGGCGTCTCTTTTGCTTTCAGTTTTAGTGTTTTACACATTTCTTTTACTTTATTGATGTGCAATATTAGTTTAAGAATATTTCAGAGTTAAATTTACCTATTACTGGGTGTGTTATTCTTGTTGCCTTGGAAGCTAAAACCTCTTTCCTAGGCACTTGCATGCCTATTTCAAGAGTTTCATTATATATTCAACTTAAATGTCTTGTTTATTATTTTCTCATGCTTGAATTTTTTGTAATATTTGCACATTGGATGCGTGGAATGGTGGTATCTTTGACAAAAATGTCACTTTTAATGATATGAACTTTGAATATTTTTCTGTAGCTGCAGAGGTAATTTGTGTTCATTTTAGGGATTACACGATATTTTATGAACAGAAAAGGTAAGAACCAAATCGTTTTGACCTTGTTCGGTTCCAAAACGTTCTGAATTTTTTATTAGGAATGAACCAAATTTTAAAACAACATTTTCTAAAATGGTTATTCTACATTTTAACCAGATTCAATTAATCTCAGGCCTAACATACCCGAGTAACCCGATCTAATAATCCATAAAAAAAGTCAATTTATGAGACAATAGGAAAAACCAATCCTAATGGAATTAGAGGAAAACCTCTAGCTTTGTTTTTAATTTAATTACTCTCATCAAGATTCAAGGCTTGATAAAGCTCAACTTCACTCTTGGAACCGACCGACATAAGGAGGCAAGCCCCTGAAAACGCTGCTGGGAACAAAAAGGTGACTTTTTTCTGGTGGGTTCTGCTTGGTTTACTATACAGTGCTTTTTCTTCAAAAAAGTCTGGACTAGGTGATTGCCCAATTTGCTTCAGAAGGAAGTCAGTTATAGTTGATACTTGATCGTGGCTTCAATTTTTCATCTCTTTTGTTTCTTTTGATCCATCGAACCCCTAACAGTGGATTTATTTCTCTGTAGATATTGTTTGGAGTCTAAAGTTTCATTCTTTGATGGGTGGGAATCGTGTCATTTGTGATTCTAGGTTTCAACTAAAGGTCAGCTCTCAGAAAATAACTGCCTCCTTTGTAGTCCTAAAAACTAAAAAAGACTTCTGTGTTTTTATTTTTGGTGGTGCACACCAGTCTCTTCAATCATTTGTAATGGAGCCAAAGACTCACTATTTATTGGCTTGGAAATATGATGGAATAAAGCAAAATGGCTCACTAAACTTTCTGCCCTTCTTTATTATGAAGCAGCGGTCAGTCCATGCAATTTTTTAAGCAATTTTCACTATGGATCATCCGGAAACAGTCTCTCTGTGCTTTTGTACAGGGGTAAGACTGCGTACATCCGACCCCCCTCTTACCCCACCGTAGATGGGGAGCCTTTGCGGCACTGGGGTAATGAAGAAGAAGAAGACACCAGTCTCTTCAATGTGCCTCAAACTAACTTATGCTAAAATTTTAAAGACTCAGGCTTTTTTATTGAAAGATAAAAAACTCAGGCTTTTTTTTCTTTGGGGGTGAAATTTGAGGCTGGGCAAAAATGAGCGGTTAAGTGAATTTCCATTATGATGGAAGGGTGAGGCATGTTTGGGTGCGTCAAGAGTTATAAATTTATAATTAAACTAGCTACTCTTTGGGGTTGAATATGGTTTGGTTGAGTGTGACACATGGCTTCAGTTGAGTACTTGAGTACATCGATACAATCCTGAATTATATTATATATTTATTTTGTTGGGTGTTATAGTGTGCTGCAGAGAGATTTGACCCTTATGATTGGATAAGTCGCCTTCCAGATGACATTCTCATTGTGATATTGTCTTCCCTTCCGCTGAAGGAAGCTGGGTGCACGAGTGTTCTTTCATTTCGTTGGAAGAACTTGTGGAAACAAACCTCGTGCCTCATTTTTTATGACAGCAGTGCATTGGACAAGATTGCTCAAGATAACAAGCTACGCAGTGAGGAGAGGCGCAAGTACGTAAGATGGGTGAACTCAGTCCTGAAATCTGCACCACACAAAGGGGCGCTCACCTTGGAACACTTCAGGATCTGTTTTGATATAGGAAAAGCATTCTCTAGGACCATTACGAGGTGGCTTAAATTTGCTTTTAAGAGACGGGTTGAGAGCTTGGAGTTGAACCTTCTAGAATATGGCGATTATAAATCAAAGAAACCATATGTCTTCCCTAAAGACATCTTCTTCCGAAACAACAGTGACATCCCTCACCAAACTACTACACTTTTCAACTTCAATTTCCTGAAAGCGCTGTGTTTGAATAATGTTTCGATCAGTGATGAAGCTATGGAGTTTTTCTTGCGCAACTGTACATCACTAGAGCAATTAGTTCTTCAATGCATAGATCAATTATCAAATCTTGAAGTTTGTGGTCCATCCCTTGTGTTAAAAAGTTTGGATACAAGGTATAGCTTTGATTTGAAATCCATTAGGGTATCCGCACCAAACCTTACTTCACTTGCAGTTTCGACACCAAAAGGACTCGTGCTCGAGAATGTTCCAATGCTTGTAGATTTAAATATTCTCTGCATGGAAACTAAAATGCCATTAAAAGTTCTTACACTAAATTGTTGCTTTTCCCAATTGGAGATTCTTACCCTGCGGCTGCTAATGCATAAGGTGATACATCATCATTACAGATGCTGCTATACAAAACAATGAAGTATATATTATTTATTCCTTACTGTTATCATGTCTCTTGCAGGCACATGATATTGTGCGGTCCAACTTCCCTGAGATGCTTAAGTTGAAGAAGCTGACTGTAGATTTTTCAGCAGATCTTGATGAAAGTCTTCTTGGACTAACAACATTCATTAGGATATCTCCCAACCTAGAAGAATTTGTGTTAATGGTGGGTGGGTTCGACTACTTGCGCATTATCATTTTGCTTTTTGTACAAGTTTTTTCCCTTTTCCTATTCTCTCGGTTTTGTTATTGGGAAAGTTCCCGAAATAGGAGTAAATAGGTTTTGAAATATCAAAAAAGGTTGTTATGCCCCCCCCCCCCCCCCCCCGTAAAATAGGAGTAAAATGTCGGTATTTATTGCCATCTTGTAGTCATTACAGTCAAATAGTTGCAACACTAAGCATTAAACATGACAGTATTTACTATCATTAATGGCAATATTTTTCAAACATGCAGTAACGACTCCTGTTTAACAGTTCTATTTTGGAATTCCAAAACCTATTTACTCTTATTTAGGGCAATTTCCCTTGGTTATTTGGTTTGTCTTAAATGATTCTTGAATTTCGCTGATTGCTCCGAGAAACAGACAGATAGAGCAAGTCACTGTTCTTTATTTTCTTATGTGCAGATTGATTGGTCCGAGGTATCTTCATGGGCTAGCAGAGAAGTGAACAAGGGAACACCATTTCCTCACCAACACATTAAGGTGTTCAAGTATTTAGGCTATTATGGCCACTGCAGTGATTTGGAAGTAGTGATGTTCATTTTGGAAAACTGTGTTGGACTTCAAGAAATCATCATTGATCCAGCCATTCCGCTAGTTTTTTTGCATGAGCCACGAGAGCCCGATGAGATGGACTACGAACAAGTTGGCAGAAGTAATGCGAAGCAACAGCTTGAACCAATAATCCCTCCCCACATTACATTTGCTATCCAATAGATTCTTGTTATTCTGTTGCATTTGCTACACCGGAGGTTACCAGCAATCTCTAATCTGCAGCTATTCCCCCCCTAGCTTTATTTATTTGTTTATTCATTTTTTGGAGTTGGTGTTCATCAGTCTCTGCGTGTACCTTTTGAAACAAGGAATAATAGGCATTCAAAGCCTTCGATTGAAAATCACTGCTATTCATTATTTTTCCGTAGCTGATGAGTCCTAATTTTTTAAAATCTTTGTGTTTATAAGTTGGGAAGAATTTGATGACAGTAGTGCTGCAGCTAGTTGCTCTGTTTTGCTGTCAACGGTATATGTCCAATGGAAATTTTTAATTTACAATTTACCTAAATTGATTTTTAATTTAAGATTTTTATTGGGTGTTGATAAATTTAAATATTCTTACAAATAGTTTAATCAATTTTTATAAGTAATTTACATATTTTGAAATTGTATTGAAGAACTATAAAGTCCTAAAATCCAAGTTATAGGCTAAAGGGTCAAATAGACCCTTGAACTAATTTAAAAAGTGAAATACCCTTATATAGGAGGTTCTGTCCAGTTGTCGTCAATTGGGGCGGTTCCCGGTATATTTTTTGATGAAATTTTTTGAGCATCTTCTTCATTAAGTATAGGTTACCCATACCAAATTTCAGATAAAAATTCAACCGGGAAGAGAGCCATTTTTTTTGAAATGTTCTGTGTTGTTTAACTGCGCAGTTATCTTCAAAAATTCATTAGACTGTCTTCTCGATTGAATGTTTAGCCGAAATTTGATATGAGTAAACTAGACTTAATGAATAAAATGCTCCAAAAAATTCATCAAAAAATTCGACCGCGAATCGCTCCAATTGACGATGACCGGACATAGCCTTCTATATAAGGGGTGAGTTGCATTTTTTAAGTTTGTCCGAGAGCCTATTTGACCCTTTAACCTAATTAATAATACGAAATTTGATATACAAAATGAGTAAATAGAATCTAATTATATTGATAAAGAGAGAATGACATAGACTTTGTAAATTCTTTGTAATTTATTTTTGTAAATAGTATATTGTGTAAGTAAATGAGGTATAAAGTCCATTCTAATTGAAGCCCTAGAGATGCTACATGAACAACATAGGCTCCGTGACTATTTTTTATTCAAAAAAAACATCAATACATTCACAATGATATTTAAATCTACTACATTCTAAATTTAGATAATGAAAAAAAAACTTTGACTTTATCATTGAAGTGCTTTAGAAAAATGTGTTGATACATTAAAGCGTAAGAAATAACTTCTGCATTATTTAACTAATGAATCGTATTGGAATAAAGAATTAGTTTTTGGTGTTCTAAGTCACCTGGAGTTTTCGTAATATTACAATAATATGTATAATATTGTTGTTTTTAAAATAATACGTAGTATAATATTACTAATTCACATATATGGTGCATATTATAGTTGTTTTAATGCTAAAATAAGTAAAATTTTATTATTTATTTATGCAATAAATAGTTTTTTGGAAGTAAGAAGTAAATAAATTGTGTAATACAATCTCAACAAACATTTATATTTTGCATTCACTTCAGATGATCTAAATATTGTTTAACTATTGTATCTAGTATTTAATATTGTTTGATATTTTATAAAATCAAGTACTAATTATCTAATAAACATAATTAGACATTACAAAACTAGGACTTTTTATATAATAAATATACTAAGTCTTAAACAATGAGTTATTTTATTATTTATTTGTTTAAGTTATGTAAATTATTAGATGTTTCTTTTCTTAAAAATCAATTAAGTACGTAGTACTTCATATTACATTATGTAAGATCATATATTAGTTTTGAAAACTAAAAGTTAAGAGGGGCAAATACATATTAATTTAATTGAAATATGAATTTTTTATATATAGTTAAATTTTTTGAAAGTCTAAGAGCATCTCCAATGTGAAAATGTTAACGGTGCATACGTGGCATATATGAGAAATTTCTTCTTATTTAAATAATCAATTAAAAAACAATAAATAGAATATCTCTCTCCTTGTTTGACGGATCTTACATCATTTTGATAAGTTTTTCTTCACAATGTCAAGCACAATGTCTAGGTGTAGACATTGTAGTTGATATTGCAGACAAAAACTTATCAAAAAAATACATAAGACCGTGGAAACAAGGAGAGAGAAATGTCATAAAATCAATATTTTGCATCTATCTCTCATGCCACTTGTGCACGGTGCACATTGGAGATGCTCTAAGAAGTTGCACCCGTAAGTCTCGGCTGTGGTGGCCTGCATAACCCAAACGGCTTTGTTGTACTGTGGTCAAGTATTGTTCTCTCTCAAGTTTCCCTTGAGATTCTTCTTGATATCTTTCTTCTCATCTTCCTTCCATGACAGAATTTTTCTCCCTGCTTGTGTTCTCCTCAAGCGGTGCAATTCCTTCTTATTCCTCCACCCCTCCATCTCCACAAGCCGGGAAGATGTCCTTCCCAATCTCGAATCCGACGTTGTCTCCACCGCTTGCTTGCTTTTTTCTTTCTCTCTTCACTATGTTACGTTAATCCAACCTTAAACGTAAGGTAAAGCTCAAGAATTTTCACATGTACCTCTACGTACGTGTCGCACCAGGGACGGATCCAGGATTCTGAGTCAAGGGGGCGAAATTTTTCGTTAGTGTAGGGGATGAATTATTTTTGTTAGTGTAGCGGGGTGAATTTTTTCCCCTAGTGTAGCGGGGCGGATTTTTTTCGTTATTGTAGGGCTATGCGGCTTTTTTTTATTCAAAAAATGACATTAATACATGCACATCTCGAACGGCATTTAAATCTATTACATTCTAAGTTTAGACGATGACAAAAACATCAACCAATACATTTTTAATAAGTTCTACATTGTTTAACCTCATGAATCGGTTATTGAATTGTAATTTTTGTCCACCAAGGAGGGTGTTCGTGAATCATGACTCATGAAAAGTTTTCTTAGTATTACAATTGTAGTATACTAATATGTATGAGATTGTTATTTTTAGAATAATATGCACCACATACACACACATATGGTGCATATTATATTTTAAAAATTTTATTAATTCTATAATAATTTAAAGTTTATTATCCATGCAATAAATTATTTTTAGAAAGCAAGAAGTAAATGAATTGTGTAATCTAATGTCTACAAATATTTATATTTTGGATTCATTTCACGTGATCTAAAAATTGTGTAATTAGTGTGTCTGGTATTTAATATTGTTTGATATATGTTTTATAAAATCCAGTACTTGTTATCTAATAAAGATAATTAAACATTACAAAACTAGGAATTCTTATATAATAAGTATCCTAAATCTTAAATACGAGTTACTCTATTGTTTACTATCCTCCGTCTCTTATTCATTGCAACATATTGAATTTTACACTATTCACATATTCTACTTTGACTACATTTTATATTATTATTTTATAAAAATTATTTTTTTTAAATTATATTGTTCAATTCATCTCATTACAAATTTTCAAAATCTAATTTTTAAATATTTTTTACTAATAGGGATTAAGATATAATTACGGTCAAATATGTGCGTTGGCAAGTGTGAAATGTTGACCGTTGCGACTAAAAAAGAACGGAGGAAGTATTTGTTTAAGTTATGTAAATTATTTTAGATGTTTCTTCTTTTAAATCTCCAATTAAGTATTACATTATGTAAGACTATATACTAATTTTGAAAATTAAAAGTTAAGGGGGGCGAATCTAATTGAATTATGAAAGTTTTATGAAAATATTACATATATGGTAAAAAAAAATTGAATGTCCAAGGGGGGCGGTCGCCCCCGCGCCCCCCCTAAATCCATCCCTGTGTCGCACCAATTTAAGCCCACACAGATGCAGAAATATTTCTTTATTTGCATTTGTCTTCACTTTAGCTCTAAGAATGAATCTTTATGTTACATCCGGTTTCGAATCACTGCCATGGCATTTCTAAGGCTTGTTTGCAAACGTTGCTAATATGTGCTTTTGAACTTTTAAAGTGATTTTAGAAAAAGTGCTTAATAGTAAAAGTTTGATGACCAAGTCACCGTACGTGGGGGAAGAGTCGCAGTGGCCGCCATGAAATACAATTTGAGAAAAAAATGATTTCGAAAAGTAAAATTCGGTAGCGTTTGGTAAAATACGTGTCTTTTGTGTAATAGAAAAGATAAAAAGCAGATTCTAACTTTTAGTTTTTAAGTATAAATTTAAGTAGAAATTATCATTTGAAAACACTTTTTTTCCGGTGTTTGCAAACAAAGCCGCCTTAGGCAAAAGGGTGAGATATGTCAAGTGAAGTGAGGTGAAAGTCCATAAGCAAGTGAACTGAAAGTCCACCGAAAAGGCGAAAATGAGACGGCGGCGGCGGCGATATATGGCAAAAGGGTTGGCGAACAATGAAGAGAAGAAAAATGAGTGTGAATGCTTCGTGGATATCTTTACATGTATAAAAAGAGTATATGGTGGATCTTATTCACCAAGTCTAGTTTATTCATACCAAATTTTAGCTAAAAAATCAATCGGGAACACATTCAAATTAATTCTTGAATATAACTGCGCATTTTTGCGTTCTCGAATTAATTTGAATGCGCTCCCGATTAAATTTTTAGTTGAAATTTGGTATGATTAAACTAGGCTTGATGAATAAGATGCTAAAAAAAATTCATCAAAAAATTCCACCGGGAACCGCCCCAAATCGCGACGACCGGACAAAGTCTCCTATAGACGGACTTAATTGACTTTTTTATGAAAGTTCGAGGACCTATTTGACAGTTTTCCTTATAAAACAAAATATTAGAAAAATGAGGATAAAGAAAAGAATATAAATAAAATTATTTATTTGAAAGATATAGACAGGGGCGGATCCTATTGAGGGCAGGGGTGGGCTCCAGCCCAGCCCAGCCCAAAATTTTAATTTTTTATTAATATATGTTAGGTTTAAATTTCAGCCCAGTCCAAGATTATTGTCAAGCCCACCTAGTGTTCTAAAAGGCTTACAAAGGCACCACCTTAGCATATAGAAAGGCGGCCCAACGAAACTCAAACCCTTAAGCTGAAATAAGGAGTTATTTCTATATTTATAGCTAGTTGGAATGAGGAGTTTGTCTACTCACCCGGTGTGGGAACTTCAAGTACTCCGTATAAGGAAGAATACAAACGAACATAACAAACCTCCTCCTGGAACATATTTAGTCTCTAATAGACTAATACTCTATGTACATAGTATATTAGTA